ATTTTAAAGGTCTCACAAGTATCAAAAGCTTTTGTCCATATCTCCGATGTATGTAGGAGGCATATACATGCGCTTTCCGTGGGGATGCATTTGATGGGTTTTATTAAATCGCCAAAGACCGAGTTGCTGTGCCGGAAGTGTAGAAAACTAGGTCGTCACCGCAATCAAATTGGTTAATAAAATGACAACAAATGCACGTGCGAAAATGAGAGGGAAACTCAAACGTCTATCATCCAAGATGTCCCTATCTGATGTTTGTTCTTGGTAAGAATAATTTTAAAAACGAGTATAAATATTTTTGAAAGAAACACATTCAGTCAGTGTAATGTGTTAGCCAATCAGATCGCCGGAGGTAGTGAAGTCAAGCGCTGACGAGCTAGTTTTGTATACTTCCGGCACAGCAACTCGGTCTTTGGCGATTTAATAAAACCCATCAAATGCATCCCCACGGAAAGCGCATGTATATGCCTCCTACATACATCGGAGATATGGACAAAAGCTTTTGATACTTGTGAGACCTTTAAAATACGATATATTCATTGACATGTGCGTAATTGTCCGGTTTTCGATCATGTCACCGTATTTCTGTGATGAAACTTTATGTATATTATAGTAGTTGGTGTTGATACTAAACCGGGGCCTAGTTTATCGATTTTCTGACCCGCAGTGGGGGCCTGTGCATGTAATGAAACGAAATGTACTTTACGTGATCGTTGCGACGTTGGTAATGAATATCATATCAATTGCAAGTAGTTAAAGCGACTTAAAGCGATAGATATGATTTCTTGCCTGAGTTGTTAAGACAATTCGCCAAATGTCCGAAAAGGTATGTTTAACAGTACAAACCAGAGAAATGCAGCAATCAAAGCCGGCCAATTTGATCATAACATTTGGAGTTTGCTGAACGGGCAAATTGACAACTTCGCTTTACATGTGACCGGTCAAATATTGGCGGGCTTCAATGATTATGGATTATCCCTGTTTTGAGGACAGAGTTCAGACGTTAGGGAGAAATCATGAGAATCTGTTGATTCCGCCATTAAAGTCATCTCGCACGTTCGGGCTAAACGGATGGGACTGACTTCTTAAGCCATGTTCTGGTTGATATATAATTTATTAATAATATTAGTAATAAACTATGGTTATGTCAGCTATATTTTGTAAAAATTGCCTATGCATTCTTGGCTCAGAATCCAATGTAACAACAAAAGCATAATGTCATCATCATGGTTTTAACTTAAGAAAAGAGTAAATACAGAAATGATTTCAATCTCACATCTACTAGTATCCTGTATAGCCTAACAAGAACGGTTTACACTTCCTGTCTTGGAATAGTTCTAATTGTACACTTATCGCTATCGATGCGAACTGCATCCGAACAAGACTAATGCTACAAGAAATCTATGACAATTACATGATTGTATAATGTGGCAGTACTCCCTGACGTATGATCTTCATGTTGTTCTGATCCCCGGTCCGACACCAGAGTTGCACGGAGGTGTGTTAGTGAGGTGACCGCCGTTTTGAACAGTTGTATTATGGTGCGTCATGTGAGCGAACAAGATGAGATGCTGATCTCAGACGTACCATTTTGGTAAAAAACCATAGCGCTGATATAGCACTGATATAGCGCTGATATAGCACTGATATAGCGCTGATATAGCGCTGATACAGCGCTGATATAGCGCTGATATAGCGCTGATATAGCTCTGATATAGTGTTGATATAGTGCTGATATAGCTCTGATATAGTGTTGATATAGTGCTGATATAGCTCTGATATAGTGTTGATATAGTGCTGATATAGCTCTGATATAGTGTTGATATAGTGCTGATATAGCACTGATATATAGCTGATATAGCACTGATATAGCGCTGATATAGCACTGATATAGCGCTGATATTGGTAAAAAACCATAGCGCTGATATAGCGCTGATACAGCGCTGATATAGCGCTGATACAGCGCTGATATAGTGCTGATATAGCGCTGATATAGTGCTGATATAGCTCTGATATAGTGTTGATATAGTGCTGATATAGCTCTGATATAGTGTTGATATAGTGCTGATATAGTGCTGATATAGCGCTGGTCCTGCTGGCAAACCTAGAAACACTCAGAGTGAACCGGGATTCGAGCTCAGCCTCATAGGCTGCTAGCATGACTGAAGGACACTGTCCTTGGAATATACTGTTACACGTCCAGGCCATCCAGAGTCCGCCGTTAGACACACATCGCATACAGAGAACATCAACCAATCAGCGTGTGGTCTCTGACGCATACTGCTCAAAAGAGTTAAGGGTCGCCCGGTTCCTTCATGTCACTTCACTGAAGTTATGTAATGACAGATGAACTTGTAATGTGACAGGTCGGGTCGTTTTGTCTCGTAGAAAATAAACAGGGAAGTGATTTCATATGGTCTATCATATTTAGGGCATGTAAACTATTCGTTCATTTTGTCCGAACAGGTGTATCATATATTCATTGATATCTCATCTACCTTCTGTTGAATCCACCCTGACCTTCTTGCAACGTGTAACAGAGTCATTACAGATGCTGAATGGTAAATGTCTCTCATTAGATACAAGGAATCGTGGCATCATTATCAGTAGTGCCATATGGCCCCAGACACAGAATGACCGGATATCCAGAGGCGGATAAGAAAACTTCCTCTCATTCCGGAACCTCCGCTGACCAACCGATTAAGGTCTCCGCACATCATACAACTCCTTGCAGCGACATTACCAGCACCAGAGACCACATGTATGGCCTCTGCAAGCACAGATACTTAGATACGTCAGCTGCTGTACAGAGTATTCACGTGGACGACATTACGCCGCTGGGTATTTCCAGTTTCCCGTTTCACTGGGGCTACCCACACCGAGCTGATCTGTGGAGGCGGTAGTAATCTTGTGTGAACAAACGAGAGAGAGAAAATAGGACTACATTCAGAAGATTAAACATTTCCTGGGGATAACAAGATAAAATAGCTCCCAATCTCATTACCATACAGTATTAATATACGCACTTATTTCGTTTATGCGGTTAGGATATTAAACGGAAACTATTCTGGTGCTAAAATAGGGTATTTAATATCGGAATGGCTAAGAAGGTTAGCCATTTAGAAATGGGATCTGAATATTTGAAAACATTGAGGTTTTGACAATTATAATGCTCTGATTGGAAACAGAAATATGAAAAAGGTCGTGCGCACCATTCAAAGAATTAAATGTTTGTCAATAAAATACTCTCCCAAAAAAGAAACGCATCATGAAAATAGCAATTTCATGTAGCAATGAATTAAAACGTGGTTCATTTTACAAAAGGTTTTGCTCTGTTTATGAGTCCTATGGTGTTTATGTTTTGAAACATCACAACAAAACGCACCATCCGTAAAATACCCGTATTTAACAGCATGATTTTCAATTTCGGCGTGTAGTGTCACAGAATACACAATTCACATGCAATGCACGTGAAAGTTGGGGATCAGATAGTCTCAATGATGGGTATAAAAGGTTGATCGCTGTCTGTCGATTATTCACTGTATTTGGAATATTGTTGACGAACGCAAAATGCCACATCCAACTGAAGCCAACCGTCATATCGCCATTGGTTTGCTTGAAGCTGGCCAGTCTCAACGTGCAGTTGCCCGACGCATGAATGTTCACCAAAGCACCATTTCACGGCTCTGGGAGAGATATCGCCGGCAGAATGCGGTAGCAGATGCCCCTCATAGTGGGCGACGTCGAGCGACCACTGCGGCGCAGGATTGCTACATCCGGGTACATCACCTGCGTCATCGAACAGCTACGGCGACCAGTACCGCTCGACAAATACCCGGATTGGGGCGGCTTTCTGCACAGACCGTCAGGAACAGGTTGAGAGAGGCTGGTTTACGTGCCAGAAGACCTTGGCCCTGTGCTTCGACAACAACATCATCGACATCGAGTTCAATGGTGCACCGACGTTCAGGCCTGGAACCTACCGAATTGGCGTAGAATCTGGTTCAGTGATGAATCACGATTTCTATTGGAACGACGCGATGGAAGAATGCGGGTGTACAGACGTCGACGTGAACATTTCGCCGACGCTTGCGTTGCCCAGGTGGACAGATTCGGCCGGGGATGTTATGATGTGGGGAGGGATCACCTGCCGTAGGAGAAGTGATTTGGTGATGATCAAGGGCAACCTGACAGCTCAACGGTACTGTGACGAAATCCTACGCCCACACCTCCTTCAGATCACACACCTGATCGCCAGAGGGAGTTGTTTCAACAGGACAATGCCAGGCCCCACACAGCACGTCACACTAGAGACTTCCTCCAGAACCACAACATCAATGTGCTCCCCTGGCCCTCAAGATCACCGGACTTAAACCCGATCGAACATCTGTGGGATGCCCTGGACAGACGGGTGCGACGCCGTAACCCTCAGCCCCAGACACTTCAGCAATTTCGCTATATTTCATTGACTCATAAAGCCTACAAGATGTTTCAAAATAAACATAAAAATACAGTTGAAATTCCTATATGCGTTTCTTTTTTGGGAGAGTATATATATCTATAAACGCAAAACGTTTTGAAGTCAAGTAATAAACAAAATGGGAAAATAATGGACTTGGGTATCAGAGAAAGATAGGACATGGGGCTGCAAGGGTCTGGTCCAATGAGCCACAGTTCCCTCTGCAGGAAATGACCCAAAGTTATCCCGTGTAGTTAATGATTACGGGGCGGACCAGGGATTTTGGAGAAGAGGGGTGGATGCACATTAACCAAGAAGTCCAAACGTTGGGGAGATCGAGGGTAGCATCACCGCCCCCCTCTCTGGATCCGCCCCTGGATTAATTAATCGTATGCTTATCGCCCTGTATGTTCACCTTTCCGGCGTTGAGGTGTGATTGTACGAGCGCTTCGTCAACCATGGCCCCCGACACGACAATCTGATGGGCGTTAGCGTGTCTCAGTGATGCACGCTTTTCTTGAGATTGTCATTCTTGACACGTGACACACATGATTACATTTCACCCAACTTGGATTGGTAAATGTGCGTTGCTCTCCAAACAGAAGCTGAGTGAGTGATTTGCAGACTATCAGTATTTATATAATCGTATACTTATTTCAAGTCAGTTAGGACATATCTCTTCATCAACTGTCGATCCTCCGATGTCCGTAGCCCTAACTTGGGGAAATCACAGGGGGTTCGTCATGTATAAACCTGATGGTTTCGAGGGAAGGGAAATACACATGGGCGATGATTACGATGGGGTCATCGAACCTGCGTTCCTAAAACTTGCCTTTGTTTGACAAATCACACCCCTTGTCTACATGTATTATGATTTCATTTATGTAGGGTTAGGCTGCTGAAACAGCACCATTTTGAGCAGGGATGAAATCTGTCCCATAACTGAATTATAGAAGCTCATATTAGTTTCATATCTGCTTGGTACTGCGTGAAAGAGACATAATTTTGAAGAGCAACATACATGTTTGTGCATTACTGTCGCCATATCGCTTCTCCATGTATGACTTAAAAATGTAGGATTAGTTTCTTTTGCCAACACCATGTCTTCTGTTTGACAGGCCGGCATGGAGCTACACCCTCTATGGATCGTGTTGATGTTATCACTGGTCAGTGTGGCCAGCACAGGTAGGGGCGATGTCTGTATCCACTTTCAAGAAAACATGCCTCCATGTCTCGGGGGCGGTGGGGTATCTTAGTGGTTAAAGCGTTCGCTCGTCACGGCGAAGACGTACCATAATATCACATAACAAGATGTACTATAATATCTCATAACAAGATGTACTATAATATCTCATAACAAGATGTACTATAATATCACATAACAAGATGTACTATAATATCACATAACAAGATGTACAATAATACCACATGACAAGATGTACTATAATATCTCATAACAAGATGTACCATAATATCTCATAACAAGATGTACTATAATATCACATAACAAGATGTACTATAATATCACATAACAAGATGTACTATAATATCACATAACAAGATGTACTATAATATCACATAACAAGATGTACTATAATATCACATAACAAGATGTACTATAATATCACATAACAAGATGTACCATAATATCTAACAACTAGATGTGCTATAATATCTCATAACAAGATGTACTATAATATCTCATAATAAGATGTACTATAATGTCACATAACAAGATGTACTATAATATCTCATAACAAGATGTACCATAATATCACATAACAACATGTACCATAATATCACATAACAAGATGTACTATAATATCACATAACAACATGTACCATAATATCACATAACAAGATGTACTATAATATCTCATAACAAGATGTACTATAATATCACATAACAAGATGTGCTATAATATCAGATGTACTATAATATCACATAACAAGATGTGCTATAATATCTCATAACAAGATGTACTATAATATCTCATAACAAGATGTACCATAATATCACATAACAAGATGTACCATAATATCTCATAACAAGATGTACTATAATATCTCATAACAAGATGTACTATAATATCTCATAACAAGATGTGCTATAATATCTCATAACAAGATGTACTATAATATCTCATAACAAGATATGCTATAATATCTCATAAGGTGTGCTATAATATCTATAAGATGTACCATAATATCTCATAACAAGATGTGCTGTAATATCACATAACAAGATATACTATAATATCTCATAACAAGATGTGCTGTAATATCACATAACAAGATGTGGTGTAATATCACATAACAAGATGTACTATAATATCTCATAACAAGATGTGCTATAATATCTCATAAGGTGTGCTATAATATCTATAAGATGTACTGTAATATCTCAGAACAAGATGTATTATAATATGTCATAACAAGATGTATTATAATATCTAATAACAAGATGTGCTGTAATATCTCGTAACAATATGTAGTATAATATCTCATAACATCTTATATCTCATAATAAGATGTGCTGTAATATCTCATAACAAGATGTACTATAATATCACATAACAAGATGTACCATAATATCACATAACAAGATGTACTATAATATCATAACAAGCATGTACCATAATATCTCATAATATCTCATAACAAGATGTACTATAATATCATAACAAGATGTACTATACAAAGATGTACCTTTATAATAATATCACATAACAAGATGTACCATAATATCTCATAACAAGATGTACTATAATATCTCATAACAAGATGTACTATAATATCACATAACAAGATGTACCATAATATCACATAACAAGATGTACCATTATATCTCATAACAAGGTGTGCTATAATATCTCATAACAAGATGTACTGTAATATCTCATAACAAGATGTGCTATAATATCTATAATATGTGCTATAATATCTCATAACATGTGCTGTAATATCTCATAACAAGATGTACTATAATATCTCATAACAAGATGTGCTATAATATCTCATAACAAGATGTGCTATAATATCTCATAACAAGATGTGCTATAATATCTCATAACAAGATGTGCTATAAGATGTACTATAATATCTCATAACAAGATGTGCTATAATATCTCATAACAAGATGTACTATAATATCTCATAACAAGATGTGCTATAATATCACATAACAAGATGTACTATAATATCTCATAACAAGATGTGCTATAAGATGTGCTATAATATCTCATAACAAGATGTGCTATAATATCTCATAACAAGATGTGCTATAAGATGTGCTATAATATCTCATAACAAGATGTACTATAATATCTCATAACAAGATGTGCTATACGATGTGCTATAATATCTCATAACAAGATGTGCTATAATATTTCATAACAAGATGTGCTATAATATCTCATAACAAAGCACGGGCGATGGGGTAGCCTTGTCGCTTTAAGGTATCATCAACTTTACTCATTCCCTATATGTTCTCGAATATTTACAGATTTCATTGGCTACAAAGTGACGTCATCAACTCCATCAGACGGTGGATATACATCAATAGTTCTTGAAGGGCTGCCTCTCGCAATTGATGTCGTCACAGGGTTCTACGTAACCATGGCTACAGCCAATTGCCCAATCAAATTACAGATATGGAGGAGATTGTCGTATCTCAAGTATAAACTCATTAGTGAAACATATCTCAGTTCATCTTCTGTGGGGCCTAACAATGTAAGTGTCACAGGGCTACCAATGCGTTAATTAAGTAGTTTCCAGTCATTGTTTTATCAAAAGATTTTCAAATCGATTGTCGCATCATAAGTACAGCACATTGACATTGCATGCGTGTTACAACCACTTCGTTTTTGACTGACAAGGCGCAGTAATTACCACGCATTTGAAGTCGGGGCGCAGGGGTAGCCTATTGTTTAAAGCGTTCGTTCGTCACGCCGAAGACCCGGGTTCGATTCACCATATGGGTACAATGTGTGAAGCCCATTTCTGGTGTCCCCCGCCGTGATATTGCTGCAGTATTGCTAAAACTAAACCTAAACTCACTCACTCTCTGCATATGAAGTCAGGTACCCACCCATTGACAACCCACTTTCATCGACCTGTAGCAAAGGTCATCAAAACGTGTTGATATAAATAAATATATTTCTTTTTCCCTTTTGTTATTGACTTGGAAACAAACACTTTATGTCAAACCTATCGGCACTTGATACCGCCACCGTCATCACGTCGTCTAACTTTCAGATCCCCCTGCCAGAATCGGAACAATTCATCATCTACAATGGTGACAGGCTGGGGTTTTCGTCTCTCAGCCCCGCCAATTCCTGTGTTGCCTATACGGTGACAACTGATCCTGGAGATGAGTCTCAGACCCTCCGTTACACCTTCAGTAGCGGCATCCCACCAGTAGAGGGCAACACCTACACGTTCGACCAGTATAAACAGACATTCCGATACGGTCTAGGCATCCAGGTGAAGTGTACGTATTCTGATATACTTCAACGTTAAGGACATGACCATGCTAACCGCAGGGAGGGATTGTAAACATGACGAGACAATGTAGACCTGGAGATATCTCCACAGAACTGGAAAGCTAAATACGTCAGTAACAGCCTATCAGTTGTATTCATTAATTTAAACATAATCGGAAAGTGTTAACTCCCTTTTCATTCCTGTTTGTTCTGAATCTTGTCTTAGCAAAAACTTTCTCTCGTTTCATCAACAACTCTTTAGCTTTGCAGAGTTGCGCCCCTTAGCGCTGATAGGGTCCTGTAATCGTGGTTTCGTATTCACAGGGATACGATAAACTGAAATAACTGTCAATTAGAGAGGGTCGGTACTAACAAACGTCAAAGACTGCATGTGTATACAAGATATGGTCACCTGAGTACACATGTCTGCCAGCAGGGGTTTTAAAAGGTCGCTGTAGAGTTGCCTCCTCTAGCTGGTTGGAAACATTGGTCGTTGGCCCCTGTCTGGATTCAACATCCGAATGTCAATACCATGCTCGTTGTGAACGTCCCTTGCCACTTCCCTCCATCTAGCTCTGCCACGTCGTCATATGACGTCAATGTTAAGGCATAGTTGAATCCCAAGTCAACTATCCACGATCAGGATCTCTTAACAATTTACTATTACGTAATGGTTTCTTGAAGAATCTTTTTAAAAAAACCCAAGCTTCTATATCTCGGCGAAAATAACGTTTAGTGTTGACCATTCAACGCTGTAGTGTTGACCATTCGACACTGTAGTGTTGACCATTCAACACTGTAGTGTTGACCATTCAACACTGTAGTGTTGACCATTCAACACTGTAGTGTTGACCATTCGACACTGTAGTGTTCGCCATTCCACACTGTAGTGTTGACCATTCCACACTGTAGTCTTGAAGTAGTCTTGACCATTCAACACTGTAGTGTTAACCATTCAACACTGTAGTGTTGACCATTCAACATTGTAGTGTTGACCATTCGACACTGTAGTGTTCGCCATTCCACACTGTAGTTTTGAAGTAGTCTTGACCATTCAACACTGTAGTGTTAACCATTCAACACTGTAGTGTTGACCATTCAACATTGTAGTGTTAACTCTGTTCTATTATCAGATGGAAGCCAGCACCGACAGTTCGTCATGGCGGGCACAGAGAGTACGTCTCATTATATCCCAAACAACTTCAGCTGAGTTCACTCCATAAAGACAATTCAAAAGGAATCATGTTGACTTTCACTATTGCATTATTGTGTCATCCCGGTTTTACATTACATTTAATTTGTCCTTATCCTGACTCGTGCAATTTGCTTACCGCTCCCTTTCTCCCGAGGTACAGTGGAAACCTCTGTCAATGTTCCTTGGAACAGTTAGAAATAGCTCACCCCAAAAGGGCCTCATTTCCCGCGTTCGTGCAACAGCACCCCACGTGACCATGTGCTCGTTGTCTCTCTCTCCATTGTCGCCCACCTGGACGGTTGGGAGGATTCAACCAAGTTAATCCATTTTATTCAGTATCCAAATTAATGCTAGGTTGTTTATCCCATACCCTTTATGCATCATAAACATGGGTTATTTTACGTATCTGGGCTGTACTTAACTTCAACTTATAACGTATGTGAGAGTGTGCTGAAGGCTAATGAGAACGTGTTCTCTGTGCAGATACAGGCTATGAGTTCACAACCCACACCCTGTGTGCCCTTCGTGTATTTCTTACTCTTGTAATTTCCTTAAAAGGTGTAGCTTTTGTGCCCAACTAGGGGACCTTGAATTTACCAATTATCTGTTTGCCTTACAACGCAAAGAGATAGACAAGAAAAGGCGGGAAAACTCTAGGGCTTCGGCTGCTGTTTCATCTAAAGAGAAGTCCCTCAAGCACTTGGCTGAACGTGAGTTCGTTCCTGTTTCGTTCCCTGGGGACGTCGGCTGATGAGTTTCCCGTACGGGATTCTGCTGTTGACCTCGTCAATAATGGTATATTTACGAAGTCCAACCGGATGAAGAGAAAATCTACGACACGAGAGGAGTCATCTCTACAGAAGCTTGCGAAGTTGAAGCAGCTGACCGGGAAGAAGTCATCCGGGAAGCAGTCTTCCACTGTTACATTTGGTGCCCTGTCTGTCCTGGATGAAGGAGAGGCCTTCGCCCAACTCTACCCCTTCTGCCAGCTCTACCCCTTCTCCCAACTCTACCCCTTCGGCCAGGCTCCTAACTTTACGCAACAACCGGACTTTGTTGCCAACATTACCAAGCAAGTTCTGATGGCCATTCGACAACAACAGCGTCCTCGCTCCACGTTGGATAAACCGGTGATGCAGTCGACTCCCGCCTCATCAGTTCTTGAACAATCCCATGAAGACTTTGGCGTCTCTTCACCCACTGAGGATGGCCCGCAGGAGGATGACAAGAAGTACTCGCTTGGATTGCAAATGGCTTGCCGATTTCATCACCAACCAGAAACTTGTCACCGGCGGACACTTGCTGCATGGAGGAGGATGACATCTCTACACTGCCCATTCTTCAGGCCGCCTTCGCAAAGGCTAACAAAGCCCAGGGTCTACCTAGACCGTTTCTCAATCCCGACTTTGCTAAAGCACCTGAGATTGATGATGACTTCTTCCTGATGAGTGACTCCAAGTCCAGGTCGTATAAAGTGGAAGATAAGAAACTGGCGCAGCTTGATACTACAACCAAGGGGGCCTTCTTTGGTTTGGTGATGTCACGTGCCATCAACGAAGCGATGCTGAATGCCTTGAGTAACCCGCGGTCGGACCGGGAAAGAATGTTTTTATCTGCTATGGTGGCTCAGAAAAGGAATCAAGAGTTTGCAGCGGACCACATGAGTTCTACTTCAGCGTGCATCACTCTCCTACGTCGACAAGGTCTCTTATACTCATGCAACTGATCGGATCTCTTCACTAAGCCGTTATTACGCAAGCCTTGGGCAACATCGACCATTTTTGATGGTGCTATTCGACAAGTCAGCAAAGAGGTTGCACAAGACTACAATGTCCAGATGCTGATTAAATCTCTCCAGACGAAATCCATGTTTAAGCTGAATCAGAAGGCTCAAGAGAAGCCGTTTACTACCGCCAGGAGCTCCCGGACCTCGTCTTTTTGTAAACCATCGGATAACTCCAGGGGAAATTCCGACAGAGGCAGGACTTACTACAGGTACCGTCCCCGTCGTTGAGGATACGGTTGCAGACGACTGGCGCCTTCCACCCCAGTCGTTCCCGTACAATCCTCTACCACTGGTGGAGTACTCATGAGGTATTGGCAGAATTGGCGGTCAGTTCAAAACCCTACGTATCTCAAGTTACAGAATCTAGATAAAAGATGTACCGTAATGTAACCATTCATCCATCAATTATAAACTACCCCGAAAAGAACTCAGGCCGAAGGTATCAGAGGCAGTTCAATCTCTTCTCACCAAAGGGTCCGTGGAGATTGTTCACCCGGAAGACTTGATGCCGATCTTCTACTCACCGATTTTCCTGGTACACAATTCCCGCAGGGTGAATACATCCACAGGCCCTCGTGTCTTTGCGAAGATTAAAGATTAAAATAATTCAATGTTTGAGATGACTCCCGACTCGAAATGCTACACAGTACAATACATTATGACAAGGCCGGACACTTTGGTACACCCCACTTCGGTATGCCGATTGCTACACTACCATCGCATGTGATCGATTATTACTTAATGTGAACATAATCATGGATGATTGGCCTGTCGATCACCTATCATGAAACCTACCAATTCTTTATTGTTATTTCTGCAAGTTGAAACCCGAGTTTGCCTCTTAACTAAACGATCTTGACAAATGGATGACGATATGTCCGCAAAAATGGGTGTGTGGTCGAAGCAAGCCCTCTGATTGGTCAGCGCTTGCAAATCTGCAATTCTTTATAAATTCGTGGGATTTTTTTCTTTCATCGACTGGTTAATGTAAGAATAATTTTTTCTTATCCTGACTCATGATTTTTTGCTTACCTCCCTTTCCCTTGCGAATGGTAGTGGAACACTTGAATCCCTTGAAGTTCCCGAAGCGGACGTAAAAATACACTCACCCACGAGTTACCCCCTTTTGCCCTTTCCAGCGCAAACACTCATGTGACCAGCCTTACTTGTCACTGTCTCCCTTTTCGCCCAAGCGGATGGTTGGGCGAGCACTGGAGTCCCGTATACCGCATTATATCCTTTTTGTTTAGGTCCTATTCTTCAAAATTACGCTGTGTATGGATTTGGCAATAACTACTATGTATTATATGTAAAAACATTGTAAACATTATTTGTATTTGTGTCATAATTTCATCGTAATGTAACTTTGTTTACATTTCATGAAATCTTGCAGTGTTAGCAGGCACAGGTTATCCGTGGCTTATCCTCACCCCCAATGCCTTTCGTGCATAAAACCATGTTCTTCCAGCTTGCGCTGTACTTATTGTGTTGATTTATCAAATCTACAATTTAATCAATATTTGTCTTATGTCTATAGACGTGCCATGGATCGGGTGAGGAATTCATCTCAAGTTACGGCTGATATAACAGGAGATCAGCCTGCAAACCGTATGTTGATTGCTACTGCGGAGATTCATAATACTGGTGCTATGTTGAGTATGTTGCAGGGGCAGTCTGCTGGTACGGGGGCCAAGAAGAGATCGGCTACAACGCAGTTGACTCCGACTCAAGCTAAGAAAAAGACTTCGTCTTCTTCTACATCGCAGAAGAAAACATCTGTTACCAGATCGGAGGGTAAATCTACGCGGCCTAGTAAGTCAACGCTTCAGAAATCCTTCAACGAAGAGATGTTACCTCTGCATGAAGTAGACGTTTAGATGATCCCCCCGTTACTTCTACCCGAAGTACCTACGAGATCGGCGACTCAATCGACTTCCACGACTACTAGATCGTCTCCTGCAACTGTCACAGCAAGCGGGCGGTGGGGTAGCCTAGTGGTTAAAGCGTTGGCTCGTCACGCCGAAGGCCCGGGTTCGATTCCCCACATGGGCACAATGTGTTAAGCCCATTTCTGGTGTCCCCCGCCGTGATATTGCTGGAATATTGCTAAAAGCGGCGTAAAACTAAACTCAGTCAGTCAGTCAGTCAGTCAGTCACAGCAAGCCAGCTGTTTGACGAACTGCCACCAACTTCTCAACAGAGTGAAGTCGAGACACACAACTCATCAGCGTTCGCGAACCGCTCTTCTACACAGCAGCAGCTTCAATCAACGCAAAACTTTGATCCAGGTGAAATTATGAGACATTTCACCAACCAGATGATGGCCAGGATGGAACGTAGGTTCGAGGAAGAAGCGAAGGCTCAGCGAAGCCTCTCATCTACTGACATCGTGCGCAAACCTACCGACCTGCACGAACCCACGGACCTACGCGAACCTACTCCTCATAGAACTACGTCTCAAGACTACGTTGGCGAACGTACACCTTTGCGAAGGTCTCCACAGTCTGACGACTCTGTCATCTTGGAAGAGGATAGAAGACATGAGATACCTACTCACCGTTCTTCATCTGTGAACCCTCAACATTCGAGAACATCGAAGGATCCATCTCCTACATCTATCCGCTCTAGATCGAGATCTCATATCTCTCACAGATGTTCGCGAAGTCACTCAAGGTTCGCGAAGGGATAATCTAGCGACGGAACTTGGCAAAGAGAAGGCTCACATCACAGAGGTTCGCGAAGAGATGAATCCACAGATAAAGGTTCGCGAAGAGAGGACTCTCAAGATAGACGTTCGCGAAGGAAGTAATCTTCAGACAGAGGTTCGCGAAGGGATACAGGTTCACAGAAGGATGATTCGCGGAGGCATAGCTCTACCGATCAGGAGATAACTGATGAACAACTAGACTTCGTCTTCCCGGACTCAGAGGTTACAGCTTGGATAGCCAATGGTTTGAACTTGGAGTCTCTTTCTAATGATATAGATGAAGTCTAAACTTATAAGATGCGTAATGACGTCTTTGACTCGGTGACTATTCCTCCGATTGAACCTATATCCAAGATACCTTCTAACCTACGCACAGCTTGAGAAAGCTGCAGACATCTACAAGATTCGAGAACTCTTAGATCTACAGGCAGATAACAGCAACGCAGACATCTACAGGGTTCGCGAACCCTAGGGTTAACGAACCCTTACATCAACAGGCAGGATGTTATCGTCGACTCTATTACCATAAGGCTGGATAAAACGAAGCAATGATGAAAACGGATGGTTTTGTCAGAGTTTATAACTCAACAAAAAGATCTACAACATGTGCGATCTCTACAGTTTACAGCCTGCACAACTCGACAACCTGCACAAACCTTACACCTATAATAGGTTCAGTTTCGGACTACAACCTACTTGATGAAAGGAATCCCTTCATCTACACGGATGCTGAGGTCTTATACCGGGTAGCAGATGGCCTGCGGATATTGTCATTCACTCACTCACTCCAACCCAACAGAGATGTACTGCATATACGCTGATGACTTCGACTCCAATATGATATCACCTATGAAGCCGATATCTCAAGTACTGGAGAACCTCAAGGCGACCTTTGTAAAGGGCTTAAGGTTATCAACGCCTTCAAGAATCCTTGAACGGACGTACAGATGATATTGTTAACACTCGACACTCAGCGCAACACTTGGAGCAACCCTTATTCAAGAGGTTTATATGAGCGGCGTAGAATTACGCTCGCTTTACTCAACCAACTAATTGCACCAGATTTTATGTAGGCCAAGTTGCTACAACACCGGTGACGTCATGCTTGAAGCTCATTGGTCCACGTCAGACAACGCCTCCCAGCAAGTTTACTCACTTACAAACAAACCCGTGGTACGGGGAAATACTTCATCGGCAGCCTTGGAAACAGTATACAACTACGGCCTGTTATCATCATGGGAATCCAATGGAACATCCTACCGTTTGGAATATCATCGGCTCTATGATTATTCATACGAATAATCAAGCCTATCGGCACCTATCTGCAGCATCGAGGTCTACGCAGTGCCAGTTATCTGGACAACGGCATACAGGTTCTTCAAAGTGCCAATCAACTCAGACAGCAGCATAGCTGAACTTCACAATTAAGCTGCTCACGCAACTAGGATGGCTAGTGAACCTGATGAAGTTGGAGTTAGAATCAAACAAGATCTTCAATTGCTGTGAATAAGAATTATCACAACACAGAATCGAATTGTGGTCCCAGAAGATCATTGGGTCAAGATACAAGCCAAGAACGTGCTTGCAGACGCTCTCTCCCGACCACTGCACCCGTCACCTACGGAATGGATGCTCCATCCAGAAGCATTTCGGCTCATCATAAGGGAAATAGGATCCCCATGCATACACCTGTTTGCCATGAGGTTCAACAAACAACTACAGACGTTTTTCTCACCAGTTCCAGATCCTCAAGCCTGGGCAACAGATGCACTGAACATATCATGGGAAGGACTAAACGCTTATGAGTTTCCACCACTGATATTACTACCGAACGTACTGTTGAAGATCAAACAGACTCTGTCGCTACAACTGACCTTGGTCGCGCCATACTGGCCACCGAGAGTATGGTTCCTAGACCTAATAGAAGATCTCGGAAGTCCAACAATCAAGTTACCAGATTGGCCGAACCTACTCATACATCCGCACACCAAGCAAGTCCACGGGAACCAGACAGCGTTCCAGCTACACGTGTGGACCGTATCAAAACATGTTTTGAAGAAAAGAGGATACTCCGCCAGGGCAGCCAAGGCAGTAACCCTAGCGTTACGCAGATCTACTCGTAACCTGTATGATGACAAGTGGCTGAAGTTTGAGACTTATGCAAGGCGGAAAGGCTTCATTGCTATGAAAGCTACTCATCCTCAAGTGGCGGAATACCTGTGTCATCTTAGACAAACCAGACATCTGAAAGGTTCGACATTATCTACATACCTCGCTGCCATCAGTACAGTGATTACCATGAAAACAGGCATCAAGTTGACGAAAGTACCAGAATTACTTGCTCTGCTGAGATCTTTTAAACTGGAGGACCAGCAAAAGAAGTTCAGAGCTCCGGCCTGGGATCTGAATGTAATTCTACGTCATCTTACAAGTGATGCCTTCGAACCTCTAGATCAGACTACATTCGAGCTGCTGACACAGAAGACTCTGTTCCTGCTTGCGCTAGCCACGGCAGATCGGATATCAGAGATACATACGCAGGACTTTGGTCGAACCAGATTCGACACGGGGCAACATGCTGCAGTTCATCTAGGACTTAGATGGGACTTCACTGCCAAGAACCAACTACCTGGTCAGCCAGATAGACAGTTCCACGTACCAGCGCTATCTACAATCCTCGGACCAGAGGATATAGAGGACTTATCCTTGTGTACGGTCAGAGCCCTGATGATATATCTTCAAAAGACTAAGACGAGGAGAAGGAAATTAAAGCGCCTGTTCATCCCATTATCCACAGAGACAGATACAGGACGTATCTAAGGACAGCTGATGAATCCACGAAATGGCTTGACCCGCCACCATTCCGTCCGATTCTATAAGCAAAAGATCATGAGTCGGGATAAAAAAAAATGTAATTTTTCAAGTAAAATTGATATTTTTATACTTATCCTGACTCATGACGAGAAGCCCTCCCAACCTCCCCTCTGGAAACACTTCGGATTTCACAGCAGATCCAAGTGCATGGGCAGAAAAATCAGGAGAGAGTGACAAGTAAGGCTGGTCACAGGAGTGTTTGCGCGGGAAAGGGCAAATGGGAGGTAACTCGTGGGTGAGTGTATTTTTACGTCCGCTTCGGGAACTTCAAGGGATTCAAGTGTTCCACTACCATTCGCAAGGGAAAGGGAGATAAGCAAAAGATCATGAGTCAGGATAAGTATAAACATATCAATTTTACTTACTTTTTTCGGGCAATGGCTTCTCAAAAGAAAGCATCAGTTGCAAATGTCTCCTAAACAAGGATTAACCAACCAGAGGACTTGCTTTGACCACGCCTCCGTTTTGTGCGGACACATCGTCATCCATTTGTATCAAGATCGTTTAGTTGGGGATCAAAATCGGGTTTCAGTCGACTTGCAGAAATAACAAAGAATTAGTAGGTGTCGTGAGTGGTGCTCGATATGCCAATCATCCATGATTATGTTTACATTAAGTTTTACTCGATTGCATGTGATGGTAGCGCAGCGATCGGCAAAGCAGGCAGGTAGGGTACGCCGAAGTGTCCGGCTTGGTCATAATGTATTGTACCGTGAAGCATTTCGAGTCGGGGTCATCTCAAATGTTTTATGGTTTTTTAACATCTTCAATCCTGGCAAAGACACGAGGGCGTGTGAATACGTCCCCACTCTCCACTGTTGGTCTTGTTTAAAATTTTACCGTTGGCTTATGGAGAGAGTGGCAACTAGCATATGGTCACGTGGGGTCCTGATGAACGAGCGCGGGAAAAGGGACCCTTCAATAAATTTTAAGGTGAGCTATCTTTAACATTGACAGGTTTCCACTGTACCTCGTGAGAAAGAAAGAGATAAGCAAATTGTATGAGTCGGGATAAGTATAACATATCAATCTTATGAAAAAAATACATTTTCTTAGAAAATACTTTTCTTCATAGTGTGAGACATGCACAGAAAAACAGAAAGGTAGTTGTTGTACTGTGTCAAGGTGTTACTCTTGTGCATTTTCGACCAGTGCCCGGGGCAGTGGGGTAGCCTAGTGGTTAAAGCGTTGGCTCGTCACGCCGAAAACCCGGGTTCGAATCCCCACATGGGTACAATGTGTGAAGCCCATTTTCTGGTGTCCCCCGCCGTGATGTTGCTGGAATATTGCTAAAAGCGGCGTAAAACCAAACTCAGTCAGTCAGTCGACCAGTGCCCAATGCCAGTTGAACTAAAATCCAAGGCTCTTACCCGTTCGTACCCGTAAAGATCCGAGTAAGAACTGATCTTCAGCAACCCATGCTTGTCGTAAGAGGCTACTAACGAGATCGGATGGTCATGCTCACTTATTATGCTGATGCATGCCAGCGTACCCCAGCTGCGTAGACAGATGTTCATCGTGTTATAGACTAAATTAGTCAAAACAGACCGCTGGAATATTGCTGAGTGCTGAGTTAAACAGTCAGTCAAACAATGTTAACCATTTATGTCATATCTTACAATCTGTTCTTTCCACCCATTACCGACGTCCAACAGAAGTGATCGGTCACCACTTGACCACAGACAAGATGGCACCAGCAGGGAGGATCACCATCATCCTTGAGGGTCTGATGCTCACGGAGGGCAAGGTCAGCGGATATTACGTCAGACTTGCCAAAGCGAACTGTCCAATCAGACTACAGATATGGAGGCCAACTTCTGGTCGGTCTTACCAGCTTCTTGGGGAGACGAACTTCGAGTCAAAGAGTACAGGCTATTTCCATGTACGTTTTATGAAAGTTTGAATAATGACAGTTGGTACCCGTCACATGGCTCGGGGAACAAGTCGTCTGTAACATGAGTGAGTTTAGTTTTGCGCTGCCTGTAGCAATATTCCAGCAATATTACGGCGGGCGACCCCAGAAATGGGCTTCACACATTGTACCCATGTGGGTAATCGAACCTTGATCTTCGGCCTGATGAGAAAAGGTTTTAACCACTAGGCTACCGCACTGCCACTTCTGTAAAATGAGCAGTGTCTTGACTTTATATTTAATTTCATATCGTTCATGTTCTACATTCTCGGTATCCATGCTGTTGGCCCAGGGGCACTTGTCATTTGTTGACAGCCTAAAGGAGGCGTTGGCTTCACGTACATGTATGTGATACACCTCAGATTATTTGAAACAACTATTTTACAATAACTGTCCTCGTTAGTTGTTAAGTTTCTCTTCCTATCTGTGTCGCTTCATTTTGGTTTTAATTGAATGAAATTTCGCTGTGATAACCGATATGCATACTCACTCACTAACTCACTCACTCTGCTAATTACGTTGCTTAGATTGCCTCATCTAAGCTCATCGCAGTGACTGGAGCAGACAAGGTCGGGTTCACCACCCTGGACGACACCAGCTCGTGTGTTCCTTACCTGTTCGTGTCGGACAAGAGACGGTCACAGACAGTCTTCCATGACTTCTTCTCCGCCAACCCTCCCACTGTCAACTCCACCCAAATCTTCAGCGCCCTCCAAACTACGTACCTCTTTGCTGTGGAGGTAGCCGTTGTTGGTGAGATAAATGCGAGACGTTGACGTACCACACCACACCACACCACGCCCGCACGCAAACACACACACACACACGCCCCTACGCTCCCTCCCAGACATCCCCCTTAGTGCCTTAACCCCCCCAAATTAAATCCTTAAATCCGGCTTCCATCAACCCGTGCTTGTGTACGGTGCGATACTAAGTAACTGTAGTCACGATCGCTGACTTCACTGTCATCGTATTCAAGTTTCATAGATCGATGCTCATGATTTCAATCAAGAGTAATGTCTTTGAAGGCATTTAGGGGCACATAAATGGTGAAATTGTATGGACATGAACTTCTGTAATATGAGACACGACGTTTCTGAAGATATTCTTATATGTGAACATCAATACTCCTGATGGAGTAAGAATATACTCCGAAACGTCCTGTCCCGCATATCAAACAAGTTGACATCTATAACTTTTCACCTTTTAATCACCAGATTGTCAAGATCAGATAATTTGTTTGATTGGCATTGTAGAACTGAGTGGTATAGAGATGACAAGACTTTATGGATGATCAACTTGCCGATGTAGGGTAGTGAGATGCGAATGGGAGAGGAGTCGGGCTTGCTAGTGGTAGTCTTAGGTGTTGGGTTGAGGGTGGAGTTGATGACACGGTCAACTATCCCACTAAACGTGTTGACCGTGTCATCAACTCCACCCTCCACCCTCCACCCTCCACCCCAGCACCCAAACCCACCACTAGCCAGCCCGACACCGCTCCCATTCGCATCTCACTACCCTACATCGGCAAACTTCACATGACATCACTCGCTTACTTAAACAGCAGGCGGCATAGACACTTACTTCTCCACGGCCACACCTCTCAAAACTATCTTTGAGGCAAACGGTGGGAAACACACTACAAAACAACAACAGCCTAAAGGTGTGGTCTACAACATCAGCTGCGACTGTGGCAGCAACTACATTGGTGAAACATCCAGACCACTCAACATACGCATCAAAGAACATAAGACATCCACAAACAAAGCAGACACCAAATCAGCCATTTCGGAACACATCACCAAATTTCCTCAACACAACATCAACTGGGACACTGTCAAAACACTTACAAACAACAAACATGATTACAACCCACCCTGGCTTCTCATCACCTGCCTAACTGACATTCCTCACCACTGTCTTCCCATTAATTAATTCCCCACCACCTTGGCTTCTGCCTAATTAACTTAAATTCGCTAATTGTAATCTCACTCATCTCATTTATCATCTCAGCTCTTCATCATGCTATTGTAGCTCATCATGTAACTTTCTTTGATGCTTTGTTTTTCCATCCTCAGTATTTTTATCTCTTTATCTTATCTTGTATATAAACTGGTGTACCCCACCATTCCTCCATATGCTTGAACACGGAATAAGAATCTATACCGAAACGTCGCCATTGTCAAAGTAAAGAAGTTGATCATCCATAAAGTCTTGTCATCTCAAGACTAGATAACAATCATATAGCTGGAATAGTGCTGAGTACGGCATTAAATAACCAACCAACCATATTCGTAGTGATTGTTGGTTTGTTAGCATCCTGTCCGTGTTCTAGGCAACACTAACACGTGTGAGGCTAGCATCACCGGGCTTACCTTAAGTTGACACACAGCTACGTAAGTGAAGTACTGTTCAGTGTAGCCGTTAAACTATATTGACTCATGAGCTCTTGTATCACCACCAGACATATCTTTGTTCCAAACATACCGGAGATCATGCATGATACAAGTGTCGTGAATATCTTCAATGGGGATCTCCTCTGCATTAATTTACCAGGATGTAATATGACTGTTAGTAAACCATTAGCTCACTCATTCAACTTGCAGAGTCCTTCCTTGTGCTACCGGGACCTAGAGGATCCGCCGGGGCTACCGGTATCCAGGGTATACAGGGTCTGCAGGGGCCCACGGGAGAAAGTGGGGTCAGAGGCGACCAAGGGCGTACTGGGGAGCAGGGACTGCAGGTGCTCTCTGTTGTACTCTTGTTAACTGTCCTCTAATATATACCAGCATCATGTAGTTTCTAACCATTGATACCCATTCAGTCGATGAAAATCATTGTGATAATAGTGTTGTAAAAATGCTGAAGACGTTTGTTCAAAATTGCCTCTGTTCATCCAGGAGTGAATGGGTAATCGGTGGGTTGTCATATGACTTTACCTTCTAACACCTCTCAGGCAGCTTTGATAATACTGTCTCAGCACCTTGACCAAGCATAAATGCGTGGATACATGTGATGTATAAATGTCCAGTATTATGACTATTTCAGTAATAATCTTGCATGCATTATGATTGGCTTTCCATCTTAATTATGTCCAAAATACCATCCAAACGCGTTTTTCTTTATAGAGGTAGGTCCCAACGTCTACATTCATGCAACTGGTACTCCAATTGCATTAAATGTGTTTGCTGTCGACTAATTATAAATTGAACTACGTATCCATGACAACGTGTTTATTGTCAGGGTGACCGTGGAACAGACGGCCCAGTAGGTATACGCGGTTCTGTAGGAAGCAGGGGTCAGGTAGGACCCGTAGGCCGGAGAGGCCCACAAGGAGGAGCTGGAGCTTCTGGTCAGGTCGGTACAGTTGGTCAATCTGGGGACAAGGGCATGGTAGGCGACACAGGAAGGGAGGGTCAACTTGGACAGATGGGAAGCAAGGCTGGAAGAGGACCTCAAGGACAGCAGGGCATGACTGGCGACTCCCCAAAGGGCGAGGAAGGCGACCAGGGACCACGGGGACCAGCAGGTGAAGTAGGCCCAGAAGGAATGCCAGGAGAGATTGGTCCCCAGGGAGATGACGGGCCTACTGGCATGGAGGGCGCTGATGGGGCGCCAGGAGTTCAGGGCTCCATGTGGACGCCAAACGGTAAGAGCTTATTCCTAAAATGTATATGCCATGGGCGTACGCGGAAGGGGGCTTCCTGGGGAACTGCAGTTCCTCTTTTCTACCAACAGCGTAAGAAATATGAACATGCTGTGTTGATAGCGACTGAGTCTCTAGCTTTAGGTCAGGTTTCTGTTGTGCAGGGAAGTAATCATGTCATGGTCTGTTTACATGAATGTTCTTTTCTGTCTGATCACCCTTTTTGTTTTCCTTGCACAATTCATAGTAACTTTTCATAGCTAACGGTGCTCAAAAATATTAAATATACCGCTTTCACATGACTGACCTTACGACTGTGAGGTAGCCTAGTGGTTAAAGCGTTCAATCACCAGGATGACGGCACAGGTTCGAATAACAACATTCCATCCCTTGCATGGGCACGGACGTGGGGTAGCCTAGTGGGTAAAATGTCTGCTCGTCACGCCAAACACCCGGGTTCGATTCCCCTCATGGGTACAATGTGTGAAGCCCATTTCTGGTATGACCGCCGTGCTGTATAAACTCAAATATTACTGAAACAACGTAAAACTCACTATGGTTAGGTGTTATTTTTCAGAACTATGCAAGCAGATCAACGTGACATGTGAGCAGGAATGTACGAGTAACGGTATGAAGGCAACATGTACCTGCAGACCAGGATTTCGGTTGAAGGATGGCTATAAGTGTATTGGTAGGTGAAGTGTTAACAAGTGCCAAGGGTAAATCAGCTACGACAGTAAGGATCCATGGGTGGACTAACAACATGGTACTGTGTGTACAGTCTGTGTCCTTTAATACAGAATACAGCCTCTATTACACTATGGCTAATATCTGTAATAACTTTGATACAGAATACAGCCTCTATTACACCATGGCTAATATCTGTAATAACTTTGATACAGAATACAGCCTCTATTACACCATGGCTAATATTTGTAATAACTTTGATACAGAATACAGCCTCTATTACACCATGGCTAATATTTGTAATAACTTTGATACAGAATACAGCCTCTATTACACCATGGCTAATATCTGTAATAACTTTGATACAGAATACAGCCTCTATTACACCATGGCTAATATCTGTAATAACTTTGATACAGAATACAGCCTCTATTACACCATGGCTAATATCTGTAATAACTTTGATACAGAATACAGCCTCTATTACACCATGGCTAATATCTGTAATAACTTTGATACAGAATACAGCCTCTATTACACCATGGCTAATATTTGTAATAACTTTGATACAGAATACAGCCTCTATTACACCATGGCTAATATTTGTAATAACTTTGATACAGAATACAGCCTCTATTACACCATGGCTAATATCTGTAATAACTTTGATACAGAATACAGCCTCTATTACACCATGGCTAATATCTGTAATAACTTTGATACAGAATACAGCCTCTATTACACCATGGCTAATATCTGTAATAACTTTGATACAGAATACAGCCTCTATTACACCATGGCTAATATCTGTAATAACTTTGATACAGAATACAGCCTCTATTACACCATGGCTAATATCTGTAATAACTTTGATACAGAATACAGTACAGCCTCTATTACACCATGGCTAATATCTGTAATAACTTTGATACAGAATACAGCCTCTATTACACCATGGCTAATATCTGTAATAACTTTGATACAGAATACAGCCTCTATTACACCATGGCTAATATCTGTAATAACTTTGATACAGAATACAGCCTCTATTACACCATGGCTAATATCTGTAATAACTTTGATACAGAATACAGCCTCTATTACACCATGGCTAATATTTGTAATAACTTTGATACAGAATACAGCCTCTATTACACCATGGCTAATATCTGTAATAACTTTGATACAGAATACAGCCTCTATTACACCATGGCTAATATTTGTAATAACTTTGATACAGAATACAGCCTCTATTACACCATGGCTAATATCTTGTAATAACTTTGATACAGAATACAGCCTCTATTACACCATGGCTAATATCTGTAATAACTTTGATACAGAATACAGCCTCTATTACACCATGGCTAATATCTGCAATAACTTTGATACAGAATACAGCCTCTATTACACCATGGCTAATATTTGTAATAACTTTGATACAGAATACAGCCTCTATTACACCATGGCTAATATCTGTAATAACTTTGAATAAGCTTTGATACAGAATACAGCCTCTATTACACCATGGCTAATATCTGTAATAACTTTGATACAGAATACACCATGCCTAATATCTAATTACACCATTACACCATGGCTAATATCTGTAATAACTTTGATACAGAATACAGCCTCTATTACACCATAATACATGGCTAATATCTGTAATAACTTTGATATTGCAGAATGCAGCCTCTATTACACCATGGCTAATATCTGTAATAACTTTGATACAGAATACAGCCTCTATTACACCATGGCTAATATTTGTAATAACTTTGATACAGAATACAGCCTCTATTACACCATGGCTAATATCTGTAATAACTTTGATACAGAATACAGCCTCTATTACACCATGGCTAATATCTGTAATAACTTTGATACAGAATACAGCCTCTATTACACCATGGCTAATATCTGTAATAACTTTGATACAGAATACAGCCTCTATTACACCATGGCTAATATCTGTAATAACTTTGATACAGAATACAGCCTCTATTACACCATGGCTAATATCTGTATTAACTTTGATACATACAGAATACAGCCTCTATTACACCATGGCTAATATTTGTAATAACTTTGATACAGAATACAGCCTCTATTACACCATGGCTATCTGTAATAAGTGATACAGAATACAGCTTTGATACAGAATTTGACAGCCTCTATTACACCATGGCTAATATGTGTAATAACTTTGATACAGAATACAGCCTCTATTACACCATGGCTAATATCTGTAATAACTTTGATACAGAATACAGCCTCTATTACACCATGGCTAATATTTGTAATAACTTTGATACAGAATACAGCCTCTATTACACCATGGCTAATATGTGTAATAACTTTGATACAGAATACAGCCTCTATTACACCATGGCTAATATCTGTAATAACTTTGATACAGAATACAGCCTCTATTACACCATGGCTAATATGTGTAATAACTTTGATACAGAATACAGCCTCTATTACACCATGGCTAATATCTGCAATAACTTTGATACAGAATACAGCCTCTATTACACCATGGCTAATATCTG